TGGGGTCAGTGTAGGGATGGGTTTGAGGGAGGGGATTTAGGGTAATGAGAGGATTTGGGATGGGGTCACTGTAGGAATGGATTTGGGGCTGGGGTCAGTGTAGAGAGGGATTCTGGAGTGATGGGCTCAGTATAGGGATGGATTTTGGGGTGATGGGGTCAGTGTAGGGACGGATTTTGGGGTGATAAGGAGAGGATTTGGGATAGGCTCAGTGTAGAGGTGGATTTGAGGAGGGGATTTGGGATGATAAGGAGGGGATTTGGGGCTGGGGTCAGTGTAGGGATGGATTTGGGAGGATGGAGAGGGGATTTGGGGCTGGGGTCAGTGTAGGGATGGATTTGGGAGGATGGAGAGAGGATTTGGGGCTGGGGTCAGTGTAGGGATGGATTTTGGGGTGCAGGGCGGGGTCAGTGATGGGTTTTGGGATGGGGTCAGTGCAGGGGTGGATTTGGGGTGGTGGGAAAGGGGGATCAGTGGGATGGGATGTGTGAAATGTTGGGATGCCGGTGGGGCTGTGACCCCAAAAAGAGCTGCACGGGGGAAAGGGGAGTTTTGGGGTTCAGGAGTTTTGGGGTTCAGGAGTTTTGGGGTGAGGCAGATCCCATGGAGACAGAGACAGTGGGAAAATTGGAGGCTGTGGGGTGGGTTTTTTTGGGAAAAAAGTGGACTTTGTGAGGGAGAAAAGGGGATTTTGGGGGCGAGAGAAAGGGATTTTGTGAGGGAAAAAAGTGGGATTTGAGGGGAGGGAAGAAACGGGGGATTGTGACGGGAAAAAAGTGGGATTTGTGAGGGGAAAATGGGATTTATGAGGGGGAGGAGGGAATTGTGAGGGGGAAAGTGGGATAAAGTGGGATTTGTGAGGGGAAAAACTGGGATTTGTGAGGGAAAAAGGGGAAATTGTGAGGGGAAAAAGGGATTTTGGGGACGGGGCTTTCAAACCCCCTTGGGATGAGGGGAAGGAAAAGCGGGAATCGGGCAGGGCGCGGGATGGGGAGGGACAAGTGACAACTTTTGGCGGGAAGCAGGAAAAATCCCGGGAATCCGGGCTTGGGAGGGAAATTCGGGAATTTGGGGCGGGGCTGGGGTCAGGAATGGAGGAGGAGCTGTTTTGGGGGAACTTTGCTGGGATTTTGGGAGCTGGGCGAGACAAAGCTCTGGGAATTTTGGGTGCTGGAAAAACGTTTTGTGAGTCCCAGAGGGATTTGGGGGTCTGGAGAAAGAGCTGGGAAAGCTTTTCCCAGGAAAAACTGGCTTTGGAGCCGGGGTTATCCCGGGAATCTTCCCTGTGGTCCTGTGGGGAAGTTTTTGGGGGGAGAAAAGGGGATTTTGGAGGCGAGAAAAAGGGAATTCTCTGAGGAATGCGGATGGGGGGGATGCCAGGGATGTGTTCCCATAAAACTGAGGGATCCCGGGATAAAAATAGGGATTCTGGAGGGATAACTCTGGAATTTGCTGTGAAAAAAGCTGGAAAGAATAGGGAAAAGAATAGGGATAAATCCCAGAATTCCTCCGGAAACTGAGAAGGGAGGGTCGGGCTCCTGGAATCCACGGAATTCAGCTGGGGCTGCTCCAGCCTCTGGGAAATGCCCCCAAAAAAAACCAGGGAATGGGCTTGGAATGCAGGCCCTGCAGCCCTTGGGAATTCCATGTGGGAATCTGGGAAAAATGGATCCCAAAAATGCCCCAGAATGTTCAGAATCCAGGCTTTTCCCAGCTCTGAATCCAGAGTTTTCCCGGCCAGCACTGGATGGAATTTCAGGAATTTTTGACTCCCTAAAAAGCCGTGGGATGAGGAACTGGATAAATATCCCAGAGTATCCATGATCCAGCAAGGGAATGGCCACAGAGAGGTCGGAATCTGGGAATGTGACCTGGGATTAATTGGGATTAACAGCTGATGGAATTTGAGTTGATGGAAATGCCAATTTTTCCCCTCAGGATTTCCCATCCCAGGCAAGGCAGGGAGAGAATATCCTGGATGGGAAAATCCCACTTTTCCCATGAGCTGAAAGGCAGCTCTGGGAGGTCAGGAATGAGCCAGGAAAATTTGGGAAAGAAAACCCGGAGTAGCTTTTAGGAAAAAAAAAATTGTATAGAATTGCTGGAATTAAAGAGTGGGAAAGGCAAAAATCCAAATCTTTGTGTCAAAATCGTGGGATTGCTCCAGGAATTCCCAGGAAATTCCTACCTGGATTCCTGCCCTTATCCCAGCTTTTTTTCCTGTTTTTGGTGGGAATATCCCAGTGTTCGCAAGGAGCTGCAGCAGGGCAGGGAGAGAAAATTCTGGAAAATCACAGTGTTTCCAAGCAAAATCCCAATGTTCTAGGGTGGAAAAATCCCAGTGTACCCAAGGAAAATCCCAGTGTTCCAGGGTGGGAAAATCCCATGTTCCCAAACAAAATCCCAGTGTTTCCAAGGAGCTCCACGAGGGCAGGAAGAGAAGAACTGGAGTGGAAAAATCCCAGTATTCCCAAGGAAAATGCTGGTGTTCCAGGGTGGGAAAATTCCAGTGTTCCCAAGGAAAATCCTGGTGTTCCAGGGTGGGAAATCCCATTCCAACTTAGATCCTGGAGGGATTCCACCCCTCAATCCCAGTGTGGGATCCAAGGAATTCTCCCTGAGAAGGGAACACAGCCCCACCTGGATCAGGCCAAACATCCCAAATTGTGCATGCCGACATTCCCAAAATCCCCAAATCCGGGATTTTCCCGCCTGCAGCAGCCCGGGAAAGCGGAGAAGCTGGCCAGCACAATGGGAAAAAAGCAGAACAAGAAGAAGGTGGAAGAGGTGCTGGAGGAGGAGGAGGAGGAATACGTGGTGGAAAAGGTCCTGGATCGGCGCGTGGTGAAGGGAAAGGTGGAATACCTGCTCAAGTGGAAGGGCTTCTCCGAGTGAGTCGTTCCCGCCCGGATCCGACGCTTTCCCGGGAAAAACGGGAGCTGGGGGGGTCCTGGGGGTCTGTCCTGCCAGGGAGAGGGGCAGGACGGGGAAATCCCGGTGTTCCAGGGAAATCCTGGTGTACCAGGGAAATCCCAGTGTTCCCAGGGAGATCCTGGCATTCCCAGGGAAATCCCGGCGTTCCAGGGAAATCCTGGTGTTCCCGGGAAATCCCGTTGTTCCTGGGGAAAATCCCGGAGTTCCTGGGGAGATCCCGCCATTCCCAGGGAAATCTCAGCGTTCCAGGGAAATCCTGGTGTTCCCAAGGAAAATCCCAGTATTCCTAAGGAAAATTCCACTGTTCCCAAGGAACTCCAGCAGGGCAGGGAGGGAAAATCCTGGATGGGAAAATCCCAGTGTTCCCAAGGAAAGTCCCAGTGTTTCCAAGGAAATCCCGGTGTTCCTAGGGAAATCCTAGTATTCCAACAAAAATCATGCTGTTCAAAGGATTTCCCATCCCAGGGAGAACAAATCCTGGAAAATCCCACTGTTCCTAAGGATTTCCCATCCCAGGGAAAATCCCAGTGTTCCCAAGGAACTCCAGCAGGGCAGGGAGAGAAAATCCTGGAAAATCCCAGAGTTCCAGGGTGGGAGATCCCATTCTGACCTGGAAACAGATCCTGGAGGGATTTCCCCCTTCAATCCCAGTGTGGGATCCAAGGAATTTCCTCCTTTTCCTGCAGGATTTCCCCAGCTCTGAATCCAGAGTTTTCCCAGCCAGCACTGGATGGATTTTCAGGAATTTTTGATTCCCTGAACAGCCGTGGAAGCTGAGAAAAACTCTGGGATGAGGAGCTGGATAAATATCCCACAGGATCCATGATCCAGCAAGGGGAATGTCAGGATCTGGGAACTGGATCCAGCATTCCCACCTGGATCAGTCCAACCATCCCAAATTCCGCCTCCCCAGCATCCCGGTGATGCCCCATCCGGGATTTTCTGGGCTGGGAAAACCGGGAAAAATGAGGGATTTGTGTTTGCTGGCAGCGAGGACAACACCTGGGAGCCTGAGGAGAACCTGGACTGCCCGGACCTGATCGCGGAATTCCTGCAATCCCAGAAAACCGCCCACGAGAGCGAGAAATCCGAGGGCAGCAAGCGCAAGGCCGAGTCCGACACGGAGGACAAAGGGGAGGAGAGCAAACCAAAGAAAAAGAAGGAAGAGGTGAGGCTGGAATGGGATCCCGGGAAAAGGATTCTGAGGAAAATCCCTGGAAAAGCCATTTTTTGGTCCCTGGAAAAGCCATTCCAAGGGGTTTTTTCAAGGAATGGGAGGCTGGAGGTTTGGGAAGGAGGAAGGAGGTGATGGCTGAGCTTGGCTTGCCAAGATTCCCAGTCTGATCCCAGTCTGCTTTCCCAGTCTGATCCCAGTCTGCTTTCCCAGTCTGATCCCAGTCTGCTTTCCCAGTCTGCTTTCCCATTCTGATCCCAGTTTGCTTTCCCAGTTTGCTTTCCCATTCTGATCCCAGTCTGCTTTCCCAGTCTGCTTTCCCATTCTGATCCCAGTCTGCTTTCCCAGTCTGCTTTCCCAGTCTGATCCCAGTTTGCTTTCCCAGTCTGATCCCAGTCTGCTTTCCCAGTCTTGCCCTATCCCAGTTTAACCAGTTCCCTGTGTCCTGTCCCTCCATCCCTTTTCCCAGCCCCTCTCCAGCTCTCCCTGCATCCTTCCCTTCTCCAGCTGAACATTCCCAGCTCTCCTGGAGCCCTGGCAACATCCCCACAACCCTGGAACTCCAGCCTGATCCTCCCTGCCTGTCCCAGAGCCGGGAATGTCACTCTGGGAATTCACAAATGGAATTTTCTCCCTTTTCCCCCCTTTTTCCCAGTCGGAGAAACCGCGAGGCTTCGCCCGGGGCTTCGAGCCGGAGCGAATCATCGGCGCCACGGATTCCAGCGGGGAGCTGATGTTCCTGATGAAGTGGTGAGGGCTGCAGGGGGCTGGCCCCTGCTCCTGATTCCCAGGGGATCTTCCCACTGCATCCAGGGGTCAGGAGCTCTGTGGGACCAGGGACGGTCCCTCTGTGCCGAGGCAGGGGGAATGTTGGTCCTGGAGAAAAGAGGGATCAGGAGGGAACTTCTGGGTCACAATGAGGGACAGGGAGGGGTTTGGAGTGCTGAGGGAATGGGAATGTTCATCCTGGAGAAAAGAGGGATCAGGAGGGAACTTCTGGGTCTCCACAAGGGACAGGGGAGGGTTTGGAGCTCCAGGAGCAGCTGAGGGAATGGTAATGTTCATCCTGGAGAAAAGAGGGATCAGGAGGGAACTTCGGTGTCTGCACAAGGGTCAGGGAAGGGTTTGGAGCTGCTGAGGGAATGGGAATGTTGGTCCTGGAGAAAAGGAGATCAGGAGGGACCTTCTGGATCAGGAGGGTCAGGAGGGGACATAGGCTCTGACCCCAGAGAACGGTCAGGCTCAGGGATTTGGGGTTGGCTCAGGGGTTAGGGTCAGGGTTTAAGTTTAGGGTTCAGGGTTAGGCTTTAGAGTTAGGGGTTAGTGTTTAGGGTTAGGGCTTCAGGTTAGGGTTTAGGGTTAGGAGTTAGGATCAGGGTTAGGGGCCTTTGGGACATCCAGAGTCCCTCAGGAATTCTGTTCTGCTGCTCTCCCATCCCTCCTTTCACTCGCGCAGGAAGAATTCGGACGAGGCCGACCTGGTGCCCACCAAGGGTCAGGGTTTGGAGTCAGGGTTTAGGCTTAGGGTCAGGGTTTAGGGTTGGGGTCAGGGACATTTGGGACATCCAGAACCCCTCAGGAATTCCATTCTCCTCCTGTTCCCCTCCCTGACTCGCTGTCCTCTCCCCTGCAGGAAGAACTCGGACGAGGCCGACCTGGTGCCCGCCAAGGAAGCCAACATCAAGTGCCCGCAGGTGGTGATCTCGTTCTACGAGGAGCGGTTGACATGGCACTCCTACCCCTCAGAGGACGATGACAAGAAGGAGGACAAGAACTAAGCCCTGGTTGTCCCCTCTTCGGGCAGCTCTCGGGGTTTTTTTTTGGGAAGACGATCTGAACTTTCGTGGGGTGTGAGCAAAGGAGGGGTTTGGAGGTGCCCTTGGAAGAGCCCCCCCAGCCCGGTGTCTGTGCCCTGCAGCCACTCCTCTGCTCCCTGCCGTGTCCAGATTCCCAGCAGAATCCCGTGGAATTCCAGATTCCACGGGTGGGGGGGAGGGAGAGCGCAGGGGGATATGGAAAGCTTGGGATCGGGTGGGAATTTCGGGCTGGGGAGGGTCTCAAAGCAGTGGGAGCAGGAGCCAAGCCCCTTCCATGAAGGACTCGCCGGGATGGCCAGGCTGGGGTTGGGATTGGGATTGGGATTGGGAATGCAGACGGATCTGCTTCCCCCCACAGCCCATCCCACAGCCCCAGCCTTGTTCCCAATAGTGTTAACTCTGCATTTTTAAGGCGTAGCATGTGTGTAGGTCTTTTAATTCTGATTTTTCTTTTTTCCTTTGTTTTCTTCTTNTTTTTTTTTGTTTTTTGTTTTAAAGAATCTGAATTCAGTCTTTTTTCCAAAAAAACCCATGAATTCAGCAAAGAAAATCAATTGATTAAAAAACAATTAAGGGAGGAAGGGAGAAGATCCCAGAATTGCTGCCAGAACTGGGGGACAGAGACACTGAAACTGTGAATGTCCAAAATCTCTGGAGCTAATCCTCGAGCGATTTTTAGGGGGAAATTTTGGGGGAAAGGGGGAGGGAATTTTTGGGGTGGGAGGGGACGAAGGGGAGACTTTGTGAAAATGCAGCTTTGTGATTCTGTATCGTCCTGCAGCAGAACTGCCACTCCTGACACGTGCATTGTATGGGGGGGTGGGGGGGATGGATTTTAACCCTTTTATTGCCTTTTTAACCCTTTTGTTTTTCCGTTCTAAGGTGCTATTTCTCCAAATTGGGGGGGGGGGGGAAATCCCCCCCCAGAAAAAAAAAATTCCTGAATTTCTGACCACTTGTTCTTTTTCCCACTCTGGATTTTCCTGCCCAGCCAGCAAGGGAGGGAACATGGGAGGGAGAGGAGCCAAGAGCAGCACAAGGAAGAATCCAATCAATCCCAATTTCTCCCGAGGCGAGGTTGGGAGCTGCTTTCCCAGGACCTCGTGGTAGTGGTGGGGGGGTTTGATTTTTGAAATCAGATTTATTTCCCAATCCGGAACTATTTAAGTGACTCCAGGGGTGGGATCTCGACGTGCATTGTACAAACCTTTTTTATGAGCATGTGTTTGGGTTCCTGTGCAAAAATCCGTGTGCAAATGTAAAAGTTCGTGTTTGGATTTTAACTTCATACCGAGCTCTGTCTAATTTTTAGTTTGGAATTTTTTCTTTCGTTTCGATTTTTTTTTTTTTTTTTTGGTCTCAATAAAATTTTAGATTTATAATCCTGATTTTAAAATTTTTTTAAAAAAATTTTTTTAAATTATTTTTTTAATCCTTTCTTTCCCTTGCTCCCTTTCCTCCAGCGATGAGTGTCCGGGTAGAGCAGGAGGCGGAGGGAAGGTGAGCCCTGAGCCAGGGTAGAGCCTTGCAGAAGGTTCTGGAGCAGGTTCTGGGTTGGTTTTGGCCTCCAGCTGCAGAGGAGAGGCCGAGCGGAGCCGGGCCCGGCGCGGGGAGCGTGGCTGGGTAAGTGACCGTCGGTTCCGCCCGGCGCCGCGGCGAGCCCGGCTGAGCTCCGCGCCGCGGGCGGCTCCTGGCAGCCCGGAGGGGAGCGCGGGGCTCGGGCCTGCAGCACGAGGAGGAGGAGGGCCCCTGCAGGAGGAGGAAGG